AAAGTAAATAACTGTCATGAACACAGTCACTATTACTATTTTAAAATAATTACATACGCATAATCTTAAAATGGTAACAGTATTTCAGATAAATTTATCTATAATTTTTATTAACTATAATTAGCAAAAAATAACATTTCATTTTTTTGATTACTATTACATGTTTTAAAATAAAATATTAATATTAATATTAAAATAAAATATTAAAATAAATTAAAAATAAAATAATAAAATTAATTATAATGAATATTGCAATAAAGTACTTTGTACAATTTTTTCATTTTGTTAATGAAATAATTTTTGGCGAATTTAATAATTTTTCATATATTTTTCTCATCATGCTATATCTGGAATTGCTATTCAAACTCAGAGTTAGAACTCCAGAATATTGTACGCAATGTTCTACGGCATAATTTATTTTTGATACAAAGGAGTGCATTAGCAAATCAACATCATGTACAATAAATAAAGGGAATGATTGCAGTATATAGTATATTATAATGAATATTGCCAAAATTAGCAAGATAATACTCGCTGTCTCAAAATAGTCAAATACTAAGCAACTAATTAAATAATAAAAAGCTGTTCAACTCTTAGAGCCTCCTCCCGTATTCAAAGACTCTATAAAGTTATCTAAATTAAGATCCTCGTACTGTGTATCCTCCCATAAATTTTCCAAGTTTTCGAGCACAATTTTAGTGGAAGCCTTTTTCCCTTTTGACCCACCGCCAATGACATTACTATAAGCATTACCGCTAGTAAGACTAGCAGAACTCGCAGCAGCGCTACTAGTTTTTTCGACACTTGTGCCGGATTTGGTATCGTGAGATGTTACATTGAATAGATCAAGAATTTGATCAGTGTCCATACTTTGGAGACCAGAATTTTGTTGATTGACGATAGAGTTGGCAATGTTGAGCTTGAATTTTTGAAGACTATCGAAGACGAACGTAGATTAGACATGAAAACTATAGCAATACAAACATAATTGTATATAATAACACTGCTAATATAGCTAATATTCTTACCCCATGATTTTTTCTTCCAAAGTGCCACGTGTTATTAATCTATAAACATTAACCACTTTTTTCTGCCCAATACGATGCGCTCTGTCCATGGCCTGCAAATCCTTCATTGGATTCCAGTCATGCTCCACAAAAATAACGGTATCTGCCCCAGTTAAATTAAGACCAAGCCCTCCAACATGTGTAGTTAACAGTAAGACATCATAAGACGGGTCTTGATTAAATTTTTGGACGATACCATGACGCTTATTTGCGTCGACAGAGCCATCAAGACGCATATAGCTCACGCTAGGCATTAAAGGTTTGAATAGATCGGTTTCGATAATATCAAGCATGGTCTTTAGTTGACAGAATATAAGGGCACGATGTTGACTAACAGCGCCTTCGACACCAGAATTGTTTTCTGTTTCTGGCGATATTCCAATACCACAATCGAGCAAAAGTTGCCTATGGAATTAGGATTATGTTAATAAATGTTGCTCAAATGAAGTAAATGATAGAAGAAAATTACTTTAACGCTAAAAGCTTTGGTGCGTTCTGAAGATCGTGCAAAGATGATTTGTTTTTCTTCAGTCGTTCCATAACTGAATTATATTGAGGATGCTTATCATTCACGACTAGTAGTGGATGATTACATAATTTCCGTAAATATTGTAGTGCTTGGAAAATGTGTGTCGCTTTCTTGGTTTCTTTTTCCTCTACAACTTCAGCTTCAGAATCAAGTTCACTTTCGACATTACTTTTAGCTTGTGATTTAGCGAATTGCTCGTATAATTGTTTCTATGTGTAAAAATTTTAAACATGTATATTTAATTCTAATAGATGAACTCAAAAATACAAAATTCAATTTTAATTTTACCTGCAAGTCACTAAGTTCGCAATAATAATCTTGTATAATTTTTGGAGGTAAATCATTTAATACATCTTCTTTTAATCTTCGTAATAAAAATGGAAGCACTTGTTTGTGTAGTGCTTCAAGGGCCAAGGCACCTTTATTTTCCAAAGTAATATCTAAGTTAATAAAGCAAAGTAAAAATATCGTACGAATAAATATTTACCAGCTTCTTGTTCTTTAGAGGAACTCTTACTATCCCGACTAGAAAGAATTGGTTTTCCAAACCGTTCATTGAATTGTTTCTCGGTTCCTAGAAATCCAGGCATTAAGAAATCGAACAGGGACCAAAGTTCGAGTACATTATTCTGCGAATTAAACAATTAATTATTGTTATTCTATACAATATGTAAATCCATAATGAGAATACAAACCTGAATTGGAGTACCCGATAAGATTAAGCGGTGATTTGCCTTAACCGACTTTACTGCCTTTGTTATTTTCGTTCGCCCATTTTTAATAACATGACCTTCGTCAAGAATGCAATAGTTCCAGTTTATGTTAGCAAGTTCTTCGATATCATTGCGAACGATATCATAGGACATTATGATCACATCGTGCTCAAGAATTTTCGGACGAAGTCTAATATCCAAACAATATTTTAAAGAATAATCGTAAAAAATTTCAATTAATAAAAAATGATACAATATAGTAAAATCAAATACTTTTCTCGTTCCTTTGGTCCTCCAATATACGACAATGGTTTCAATGAATTGGTATAGTGTAATATTTCATGATACCAATGTCCAGTGAGTGTGGGAGGGCAAACAACCAGTGAAGGAGCATGTGCACAATCTGGACTTTTGGTCTTTTTGTATTTCATTGCACGTGTATAATGATCACTGGCCAAAATACAAATAGACTGCAAAGTCTTACCCAGGCCCATGTCTAAACGATGAAAATTCAAAGATCAGAAAGACACAACAAAAATAACTTAATCAACAATATAATAAAAATTAAAGTATATATTACCATCACATAGTATACCATGTAATTGGTATTTGCTCAAGAAAGCTAACCAATTCACTCCCTCTTGTTGATATTTCCTTAGTTCAGCATTTATAGCCACCGGAATTTCATATTGATCCAGTTTGCGGCTATCTAAAAGCTGTGCAAGGAATCGACGTTCATCTTCTCGATGTTGTAATAATTTGGGTGAGAGGCCAGGCGGATTAGGAATTCCTGCCTAATTTCATAATATATCGTGAGCATGAAATGGATATTATCAAGAAAAAAACAGGAAGAATAGACATTATTGTGTGCCAACCTCTAAAGGAACCAATTTGATCAACATGGCGAAGCAATTGGTAGTGACCAATCTTACGCTTTCATCCGCATCACTCATACGTCCTAACACTGGAACTATCATGAATATAACATAAGGTAGTATTTTGGCGTCCATCGTTTGTACAACATCTATATAAATAAAACTATGTTAGTTGATGTATAGAATTATTGAAAAATTATCAACTAACTTACGGTAAATAAGTTCTGCAGCGCCTTGTCGATGAATAACACTTTGAGAATCGCCCAGAAATGGTATTACTTGATCAATAATTATTTGCATACTTGGGATAGTAACTACATTAGCTATTGTAGCAAAACATCGAGCTGCTACATATCGAATAACAGAATATTTGCATTGAACAGCTTTAATAATTTGCGGCAATAATTCTGTTATCTATTAATTTAATTAACAAAAAGTTCATTAGTTAATAAAAAGACAATACGATTAGGTGGGGAACAAATTCCTACTTTTGAGTGTAAAGATTCGTGAACTGCAGGCGTTAATATTTGTAGGACTTGAAGGGAATCAATAACATCCTGTCCAGCATCAGTTGCATTTAATTTCGAATTTATCTCTTCTTCATTCTTTTCTTCGCCATTACCTAATATTTTAATATCAACATATCAAATCTGATGTGTAGTTTTAATAATTTCATATTATACCTTTAACGAAAACGGCGTGCAAACTGGAATGAATACAATTCCACAGCTTTGGCACGACTTGAAAAAGATTCGGCCCAAACTGAGAAGCGAATTGTCGTAACGCAGTTTCAGCACCACGTCTGACCAATTTTTGAGCCTTCAATTCTTCTTCTTTATTGGCGTCTGAATTATTTTCTTTAGCTTTCTGCAGTGATAGTATTCCCTCTTTATTACGATTATTTTGCAACACGGGTGTATTCGTCTGATCCTGACAAAGAAACGCGCATAAGTTTTTCGCTATCTTGTCATTTGGATTGACTCTTCCCGAATTTTTGTCAGATGAACAGAGAGCTACAAGACTTGCTAGTGTTGCAGCCGAACGCTCTTGAAGTTCACAATTTTCTTCAGTTTTGATAGAGTTCATTATTGATCGAATAACAGGATTAAGTTTGGGGGGTAGCACACGTAATGCAACAATTGCTCCTGATATTGCAGCATATACATTGGTGTCCAGCTTCTGTTTGGAGGACTCATAAAACCCAATTGATGATAATACGCGACGTTTACGATCATCCAACGCCTCGATAATAGATTTTCGATTTTTGTGAATATTCGCAGATAATTGGTCAAATGTATCTGAAACGATGTGAACAGCTGTTTCTACACAAAAATATGAATTGTCGGCATTTCCTGGTTCACCGAGAACATTAGTCGGCAGAGATGGTATCAAGTCTAGGGAGATTTTTGCATCTGAAACAAAGCTATTTAATAATGCTTGGCATTCGCCGCGAATACGACGAAGAATAGGCAAAAGTTCAACATAATAAGCGGGAGGTTCTGATTCCAAACTTGAAATCAAAGTCGACGAAAGACAAGATGCAAGCGGAAAGGAGGCAACTAAAATATCATGATCAGGTGCGATATTTCCGAAAGCGGCTCGAGCCCACTCTTCGATAATTACTGAAGATAGTTGCCTATTCGAGGCTAAAGCCGATGAGAGAAACGATAAAATAATATCCTTGAAGGTTGCTTCCAAATACTATAATGAATTGTAGAGTTATAATAATAATAAATATCAGAAACACAAGTCAAATTAGAATGCTATTGAAAATTAGAAGATATTTACTTCTTGTGGGCATTTACTCATCAATAGGCCCAGTCCCTTAGAAGCAGTCACTCTACCTCTCACAACAGATTCCACGCTAACAAGTGCAAAATCTTGTTGTAACATTCCCGCGTCAACATTATGGCTAATCGACGAAGAATTTCCATTGCTTTCTTCAGTTCGTTTAGGACCACGCGGTCGACGTCCAGCATGAGTGGATGCAGAGGATGTTGTAGGCGTTGTCGGTGATATCATAGACCCATCCGGAATGAAAAATAGACGTTGTGGGAGTGGAGTGCCTAAAGGAGTCATAATAATCGAAAACCAATTGCGAATATGGGATGCAGTGTAAAGTGTGATCTTATTGTTTCCGTCGTCTGATGTAGTATGATTTAATAATTTTGACCAGAGTTGTAGAGATAGATCAAGCACATCCTGTATTTATTATCAATATCATCAAGTTAGTTTAGAACTAAATGACATTGATAAGAGAAATAAATGCTTACTCTTTTCTCCTCAACAATCATGTTTTGAAATACAAGCCTAAAAACTTGGTCATCTACCCATTCGTCTACACCTTCCATTCCAAGAAACGTCAATAATGTATTCAGCACAGCTGTACGTACTGAGGTAATTGTATGCCGAAAGAATGGATATAACCGAGGAACCAAAGTCTTTAGCGAATGACTGGAACGATACATACACAAAAATGTGTTAACGGTAACATATCGTATCTGTGAGAATCGAGTAGATTTAAACAGTGTGTCTTACCTCGGATCTGAGGCTGCAGCCTTTCTCATATAATCCAAAACACTTGGGAAAGAAAATAGTTTTGCTACATATACAAAATATATGAAAATTTAGAGAACTATTAATTTTGAAAGTATTGCGAATAAATCAAAGAAAACACACCCAAAAGATCCATGACATTGGCTGTAGATGCTGTTAGATCATCTTTTAGATCTTTAAGACAATCCCACAGCACGGTAACTACTTCAGGTATGTTATGTGCTGAAAGTTTTATAAAAGAATCTGCGATAGGTAATAGAATTGAGGCTGCTACAGCACGCACGTCATCGTCTGCGTCTTTCAATCTATGATTTTCATTAATAAATAAAAATATTTATAAGTAAAAGAACTAAAGGTTTGTAATCTGCTAAATCTTTATTTTTAACATACCCGAGTACTACAGCACCAACGGTCCCTTCCAACATCAGTTCCACTAAGTCTCTCCTGACTGCAACGGCATATTTCAAACCTAGCATGCCAGCATGTCGAACTTCCCAAATCGATAAAAAATTATTTTGCGAAAAGTCTGTTTGATAAATCAGACGTAAGAGTATTTCATGAACTTTTTTAACCCCTTGCGGTGACATGTAGCGTAGTAAAGCGCCTAATGTCTGAGAGCAAGTCTCGCGTACTGGAGCAACTACCTAAAAATTTTATATTACGTGAGATAATCATGGTATTATGTACTTAACAGAACTATTTAAAGTCATCACTATAGAATGTATATTTACTTGATCAGAAACAAAGTCACCAAATCTATCTAAAGAGAAGACACAAAGTAAACGAATGGCTACATCTTCCAGCCATTTGTAGTGTCTTTCATCATTCTCACTTTTTTTTAGACCAACTATAAAATATTTAATTTCGAAAAGAAAAATAAGCAATTTAATATAAAATACGCCAACTTTAAAAAAAAGAAACCAACCAACACGCCCTGCACCGTATCCATGCACTTTAAGAATTTCTCTTAGCCCAATACCGGCACCATGACGAACTTCCCAACAGGGACTAATCAATTTAATATCAAATATATAAATAACCATTTCAAGGAATATTTAGCAATTGATTTGTCGACATTCACACACTCACTCAAATAAATCCATACAAAGCAATTCACAAACGCCTTCAAAGGGCCATCCATTTGATTGTGACTCCAAAACATTTAGCCCGCTTTCTTTTTTTGCCTCAACCACAATTTTATCTGAACATGGCTGTGGTGTGAAATTGAAATATCCTTCTGGCTTAAGAGCTAATTAATTGTCAAAAATTAACAAAAAATTTTAATTAGGAAATGCACTATATCTAACTCAATAAAAGCATGAATATCAACCTTCTTCTATTTTAACGCCTGACGGTGAGATTGATCCGGTAGCAGGCGTCACTATCGGTGTATTAACTTCACTGACACTCGGTCTTCTTCGACCAATGTCTACGACGCGTACCCTTAATATTATTATGGCAAAAAAAAAAATGAAAAACATAACAAATGTACAACGATTCAACGGAAATGTCGACTCATCACATACTTATCCTTCCCCTTGTCTTTAGCATCTTTCTTCGCCTTCCGCTTTAATTTATTCTTCTCTCTTGCGCTCAATCCAGACAAATCAGCATCTTGTTGAGTATTAGGCGATTTGATAATTGGTGGTGGTGGTGGTGGTGGCAGCGGCTCAGAAATCGTAGGTTGTGGTGGTTGTTGTATGGGAGGTGGCGGTGCACTACTACTGCTATTACCAGCAATATCGGATTCGTCAAAAAGATCGACTGCAAATTTGTTTTTACAGAATTTAATTCATTTTTAGCAAGATATAAATTATCATTATTGCTGGACACTCACCATCCATGAATTGACTGCCCAATCCTAATCGTTCGCTCAAGTTTTTACGTTGTAGAGCCAAACGCACGGCTGGATCCAATTCACTTAAATCGAAATCATATTCCTAAAAATATTCAATAGTGATAAATAAACCTATTTGTGCGATTCGTCATATTATTAAAATAATACCTTTCCAGCTGAGCCCAAAAGCAATTTTCCACCTTGTAACACATTGGCAATATCAAAGTTATCGAAAGAATACTTGTTTTCAAGCGCAAATTTATTAGAATTTACAAGTTCATGTTCGCTTTTGGCGGCTATTTGATTATCAAGCGAAGTACAATCATGTTATTAAAGATAATTCTATAATTCGCAAAAATCCCAAGTTGTCAAGAAAACAATGATTATCACGTACATTCAGCAGGATCCCATTGTGGTAAATTATTAGCAATGGCTTCAATTGCTTGCCCTGCAGCGATGCGAGTCTCCCAATTTTTACTTCTTAAGTGGACAACCACCTAAATTTCATAATCGATTAGTTGACAATGAGTCCCACATTACATTTTGAAGAATTCTTAGGCAAATTAGTCAAAGAAATAATAAACACCCGTGACAACAAATTATACAATTCGCTAGGATGCTGTTTTTGAATCTCGCCCAACTGTTGAGCCGCAGTTAACCGCACAGCTGGGGTGGACCCGGTATCCAAGAGTAGAACCAGACGATCCAATCTTTATTATTATTATTATCATTTCAGAAATTAAAATAAAGCAACATAATACCAAAAATGATAATTGACCGAAAGAACAAGAAAAAGAAAGTGGACGGAGAAACGTAAAATTGGCATTTGAGAAAGGTGGAAATGAAAAATGACTACTAGGAAATAACAACGGGTGCTTCTTGCCTGGTCGCCATAATTTTTTTGTGTTTATCCCGTGTATCTGATGTAGGGAATATGGGGTTTGTAGAGTAGATAGATACTGTTTACAGTATGGGGTCATACATTGAGTTCATATGCGTGGTCTGTGGACTGCCTCTATATATATAGTTATTCGCATGGGGACATTTGAATATTGTGCAAATCCCGATTTGTGATCAGTTAAAAAAATTATTTGATTACGCAATATCGCATATAAAAATTTTGCTACGCCATTAAAAATAGTTTGTGGAATATCTGCTATTTAAAGAATTGCTCTAGAAACTTGTTTTGATAAATAGAACTAATTCAAAATTGTTTTGAATCCTGATCCCTTTTTCTATGTAGATTTATGTTTCATCATGGTTTATTGCTTTTTAAGGGAATCTCTGGCTCCGATCAATAATAGAAGAGTAACAGAATATTTAAACAAAGCCTCTTTATACATAAATAGAAACGCAGCAGTCAAAACAGATTGGAGCAATTTTGAATTAATTCCTTTATATAGACCTCCAATTCCCTCATTGGTGACTATTTTTCGAATTCCGTCTAACGTAGAATCGTATCTCGTCTTCGAGTCATGTGACTGACGAAGTTGCATTCGAGATTTTATGACACTGATCACAAAATCAAAGTATTAAAATAAAACATAAAACATCAAGAAAATATAAGAATTAATTTATACTCACATATATGGATATGTGACTACAGTCGCCGCGAGTTTGCTTAACGCGCCCAACAAAAAGAAATCAAGATTTCCCAATTTCTTTGCTTTTTGTAATCGTGCTTTTAATTGTTCAAATACAGTGTATTGAATAATCGGATTGGCCACCAAGATGAAAGCAGGCATGACACCTGCCCAGAACGCACTAGGTCCATCATCTTTGATAATTTTTAAAATGGTAGCTAGAGTTCCAAGTCTTTTAGATTCTCCTTTTAGTTTGGTATCATCCAGCGATTCTTTAAGCTCGGTGTCATTGTCATCAAGCGATTCTTTACGTGTAGTCATACGCGTCTATGATTTATAAAACTATAATGTTACCGTTGTTGTTATTTTTAAAAGAAAAAATCCTTGATACCAGATAATAACACTTACATTTACGACCCATATAGGATTAGTAAATAATACTGTGACACAACCAGCTAAAGCGCCAGCAATCATTGATTCAACAGTACTTATATCGCGCTTGATAGTTACCGATTTCTCAAAAAACGCCTTTGTTAGCTCATAAAAATAATAGTATACGCCTATATTAATAATAAATATGAGTTCATATTTAAAGATACATAGAAAAAAGAGAAAGATAAACTGAGGAATAATACCATTTGAAACTGCAATACCAAATATGGCAGAGGTCAACCCGCTATTCAAATTAGATTATCAATCGACATTTATTTATATTTAATGCGCGTAATCGATTAGATCAAGAGATTCTGATAAAAAGTGGTCTTTCTTTGAGTACAATTTTAATAAAAAATTCTTACGAGTACAAACCACGTATGCCCTCATTGTTGAAAATTTTTACCAAAGCATCTATACTACCCTGTTTATATACGCAAAATCAAAAATTAATTGAAGATAAGAAATTTTAGGTATTGAATTTTTTACACAGATTTAAAAATTATACCTTATACACGTTAGCACCTTCGTTGTTTTTTTGTACTTGTAAACGAGAACTTACAGTCACCAAGGGATAGGTCAAGGTCATTGCTATAATGCCTCCACCGGCACCTAAATGGAAATAGTAACATATATGATTTAGAATCTCAAAAGTTGACCAAAACCAAAACGCGTTAAGATCAAACTGTACGTTCATTCTCTACGGTAAGGAAATACCTACCACTTAATGCATGAGCAACATTGTCAGACATTTTTTAATAACGAAATGATAATGCGGAATAAAATTATCACCCAAAAAAGCAGCGGGATTTCTTAAATGAATTGATTGATTGACAAATGAAAAACATCTGATAACGATAACGATGATAATAGCACCGTACACGGTTTGGTTTGTTTTTGTTGATGTTCATCGAGATTCTATTTATGTTATTGATCGATAGTAAAAAATATAAATATTATCCCTTTCTCTTTAGCAAATTGCTATTTGTTTTCTTCTTTTTAAATTTAATGCTATGCAAATGAACTTGCTGAGTTTATAAGAAACATAGTAAGCTTTGAGAGAGAAAGTTCAAATGAGTAAGCTAATTGATCCTATTCAGGTGGCAGAAAGTGGACAAAATGTTCCCTTTAACAAGTACACATATTTCACAGAAAAACGACACAATCCCACTTCTTTTACACAGAATCAGGAGGAGAATTCTGTACAAGACTGGCGAATGCGTGAAAGACTTAAAACAGTCTCTGGCGCACTAGTCTTATGTTTAAATATCGGTGTTGACCCACCTGATGTGGTGAAGCCAAGTCCCTGTGCAAAGTTAGAATGTTGGATTGATCCGTTCTCTTTACCGTCACAAAAGGCGTTAGATGCAATTGGTAAAAGTTTGCAGCAACAATACGAGCAGCTTAGCATTAGAACCAGATATAAACAGTATTTGGATCCGTCAGTGGATGAAATCAAAAAGTTTTGTACAACTTTGAGAAAGAACGCAAAAGAAGAAAGAGTGCTGTTCCATTACAATGGTCATGGTGTGCCGAAACCTACAGGGAGCGGAGAAATCTGGTGCTTCAATAAACACTTTACTCAATACATTCCGGTTTCTATGGGTGATATACAACAGTGGCTTGGGTCCCCTTCAATATATGTGTATGACTGTTCAGCTGCTGGAAACATACTTAATAATTTCAACAGATTTGCGGAGCAAAGGTATTTAGAAGCTGCTAGAGCTTCCCAAGATCCGATTAATTTACCACAATCGCCGGTTAATATTCAACTTGCAGCTTGTGGCGCACATGAAACACTTCCAATGCATCCAGATCTTCCAGCAGATTTGTTTACATCGTGTCTAACCTCGCCTATTGAAATAGCATTAAGATGGTTTGTATTACAAAATCCGTTACCATCGGATATAACTGTTGATATGGTGATGAAACTGCCAGGTAGATTGCAGGATAGACGAACTCCGTTGGGTGAATTAAATTGGATATTTACTGCTATAACAGATACTATTGCATGGAATGTTTTACGGCCAGACCTATTTAAACAACTTTTCAGGCAGGATTTGATGGTTGCAGCTCTTTTCCGGAATTTTCTTTTAGCCGAACGTATAATGAGACGCTATCAATGTAACCCAATGTCATTTCCACAGTTACCTCCCACGCATGATCACCCAATGTGGGACTCGTGGGATCTTGCTGTGGATATGTGTTTATCACAATTGCCAGTTCTCCTCTCTGATAATGAATATGAATATAAACATTCTAGCTTTTTTGATGAACAATTAACTGCTTTTCAAGTATGGCTTGTAAAAGGTGCTGTGACTCAGAGACCACCAGAACAATTGCCAATTGTATTACAAGTACTTCTGAGTCAAGTGCATAGATCTCGAGCATTAGGATTGCTCAGTAAGTTTTTAGATTTAGGACCTTGGGCTGTTAATTTAGCTCTTTCGATTGGCATATTTCCATATGTTTTAAAATTATTACAAAGTCCTGCAGCAGATTTAAAACCTCCATTGGTATTTATATGGGCTCGAATATTAGCCGTTGACAGATCATGCCAACAAGATCTTTTAAAGGACAATGGGTACAATTATTTCGTCAATATTTTAGCTCCAAATAGCGTTCTAAATATACCCAATGAAGCAGAGCACAGAGCTATGTGTGCCTTTATTTTGGCAATATTCTGTACGAATTTTAATCAAGGACAAATAGCCTCACATAAAGCTAAAGTTTTGCTAGCATGTTTATCACGAGTTGGAGACGTCGATGCACTTTTGCGGCAATGGGCTTGTCTCTGTATTGGACAATATTGGAAAAATTATGCTGATGCAAAGAGTGAAGGCAAAGAAAATCAAGCTCATATGAAACTTTTTCCATTAATAACTGATCCTGTCCCTGAAGTCAGAGCTGCTGCCTTATATGCTTTAGGTTCATTTATTGGAGATTTGGAACGGACAGAACAAATAATGAATATTGAGCATAATATTGCAATTAACGCACTCACTGCTAATAATGATGGATCTCCAATAGTTCGAAAAGAATTAGTGATTGCACTTTCCCAAATAGTAAATTCTTACACAGAAAACTTTGTCAAGGCAGCCAAAGATGAAGCACAGGAAGCCTTTAATCGAACTAGCGGCCAAACCTCAAGAGAAATTCCTCCAAGCAATGTTTATACATGCATTTGGAAAGCTCTTTTGAATTTATGTGCAGACTCTGATCCGGATGTGTCTCAACTCGCTTTTGTCGTAGTGGATAGTATAATTGAACAATTGAGGAATGAATCGATTATTGAATCACTTGTTCGTAATATGCGACAAGTTAATCAACAACAAATAAAACAGGATAGTGAGTATGCAAGAATGTATCTAGATCGTTCTGCAACGCCCGAGAGTCGAGCGTCTGCCTTACCTCTTAAATCGAAATTCTTTGATTGGAGTTGTGAATATTTCCGCGAACCACAAATGAGGGTAATTTTTACTTAATAGTATTCCATGCTTTGTTTTTTTTTATTTTAATATATATTAATTTATATTAGCCACCGGAATCCGAACAAGAAGGAAGTATCCAAGATCATGAGCGTAATTGGCGTCGGAAGAGAAATGAATCTATTATCAAAGAAACCAGAGCTCTTAAAGAAGTTGCAGGTGCATATAAATATATTAAAGTATTTATATCCACGCTTATTGTTATACTGAAGAAAAATCATTATTTCTGTGTTTAATTTGAAAAGGTTCAAGTCGATGGAATAAACAAATTGCACTGTTTAATAATGAATCCGAGCCAACCAAACTACTATTTCACCCATTTGAACCGCATCTTATTGTAGCGAATGATAAGGATACGATAAGGTAAAAGATAATAATTACTTTAGATAGCATATATTGAGTATTAATCGAAGAGCTATATTTCACAGTGTATGGAATTGGCAAGATCATTATCGTATTAATTCTTTTGCTAATGGAAATCCGGCTCAGAGTAGAATAACAACAATGAAACTCATCAACGAAGAGCTAAATTCCATGTTACTTACCGGATCAAGTAAATTTTTTTCAATAAAGTTTTTTGGTGTTTATTAATAATGTTTAATAATAAACACGCGAAATTTCATTTTGAGGTGATGGCGTAATTCGTATTTATCGTAATTATGAGAGTCCAACATCAACTGAATTAGTAACATCATGGAGAGGTTTATCTGATTTAATGCCTAATTCTATAAGATTTGGTCTCGTGGCTGAATGGCAACAGCAAAGAGGTACATTGCTGATTGGAGGCGATGTAAAGAGTATAAGAATATGGGATGCCGCACGGGAGATAAAACTAAGTGTGAGCTTCACTTACCTGTATCTTAATCTCCATGATTTATTATCATAAGTGACTAACTACTTCTGATAAACCAGGAAATACCGACACGAACTGGAAGCTCTATTTCGAGTCTTACAAGTGATGGTGGTGATTTATTCGTTGCCGGATTCGCAGATGGAGCTCTACGTGTATATGACCGTCGTATCCCTCCAATGGATGCTATGGTGATGGTTTGTAAAGAAGACAAATGCACCATAATAAATACGGTTTGGCAACGTGGCGCACTGCACGAATTAGTTACCGGGTGCAAATCGGGAGAGATCAAAATATGGGATCTTCGCGAAAAGAAACCAAAACTAATTATACCGAATGGAGTATCAACAAGTAATAACGTCAAAGAAATGACATGTATGGATGTTCATCATTATTCAAACGTACTTGCAAGGTAATTAATGTATATTCGCTCCTTTTGAGTTCTAATTTGTTTGTGTTGTGCGGGATTTCTTACACTATAAATTTTATATCAGCGCATACAATAATCAACTCATAAAAGTTTGGAACACGTCAGGCGCAACATTAACATCTACACGATATAGTACTGGCTTTCTGGGATGGGGAGCACAAGTTACTACGATGGCTCTAGCTGGCCATCATATGGTAATGGCAGTTGGTGCAACAGACAATTATTTATCATTATATGGAATATAATTATACAAATTTCTAGAATTATGTTATTGTTATATAATTTTCCAATTTATTATTTATATAATACCGTTATCATTACATTTATATGTTTTATTTTCTGAATCTTGTGTCGGGAGATTTCGTTTATCTTTTAGAAATATTGCTTTGATAGCTATTCCCTTCCATAATCTATACATCTAATAACTTTACCTTGACAATACCCGAAAATAAAATTTCCGATTCATCAAAGATCACGAGAATAATATACTTAAGCCCGAAAATTAGCGCCTCTATCATCTAATTTTAACCAGTAAAATTTTGCAGTTTAAAAATCGAACATACCATAAAGCCTATAACGATTATTTCCGTAGGACAGAAACATGGGAATTATGCATTACATGGCGAATGGTATAGAAATGGAACAGAATATTGTCTTACCTGCAGAGCTCAAGCAATAAATTAAAGTTCACGATTGTAGCATAGAAACTTTATCATGTACAGCAAGTCAGTCTCGCATTTGTATTTATTTTTTATCGCACGTATACCGTGAACTTCACAGGAGTCACCGAAATTTCAGTTGATAAGTCGCCTGGTGACACATGATCGGCTGATCATTCGCGTTTTACTGATACTGTATATAACGCGACTTTTATCAGATGAGAATAAACCAATACTTTGACCAAACTCATAGCGATTGGAATATTATAGATTTTTTAGAAGACAATAAAGAGGAACCTTTTCGAATACTTATAGATTCGTATTTAAGGTATCTCAAACATATTATTCAAAGTGAACATAGAAGTAAAAAAAAAAGAGCTACTCAAATAAATATAAAGAGGTAAATTTTTTTTGCGTTTGTTTGTTCAATCCACAAAATCAGTGTTGGGCGAGCTCCTTAGAACATGAGAACGGACAAAAAAGATATTTGGACAACATTTTTGGACTTGTTCTTTCAATAAGGGATTTACTGTTTTATATATGGATAAAGAGATTTATTTATCATTTTCTCTTGAACTTTGCCAGGCTTATATAGCAATTAATTATGCAAAATAGAAGATGTTTTTGATTTGTGCTGGGATGTTTTTTAGTATTTTATTTATTTATTGACTTATAAAATGAATTTTTAAATTTTATTATGAAAATATTACAAGTTTCTTAGAAATATTAGAATAAAAAGATGACAACAGGAATGATGTACTAAAGAGAAAAATATTTAAAATAAGAAAGAAAAGGATTTAAAGAGAAATATAAGATAATATTTTAATATTTTAAAAAAATAAATGAAGATAATAAATTTTTTGAAAATGTTAAACTTTTATTTAATGAGTCAAACAAGAAGTTAATCGTTAAAAAAATTAATGAGAATTTGTTATTTGATTACTATTAATAAATATCAATAATAAATTATTAAAGATATAATAAATCTTTGTTATAAATATTTTATAAGTATTTAATAAATTTATTATTTTATTATCAACAAAAGCTTATAAGATTTTAATATAAGTTTAATATTATTATTATAAATACAATTTTATTAATATTTTATATATTATAATTATTAGTTTTATATATTGAAAAATATTAGATTTAATAAAAGATAATTTTAAAAATTCAAATTTAAAAAATATGAATATATAAAGATTATTTTAGAATTTTTCAAGCAAAATTAAATAATATTATATTAATATTTTATATTGATTTTTTTTTATATTATACAAAAATGAAAATTTATTTTTTTTTTTTATTTCTTTTTTATTTTTTTTTTCTTTCTTTTCTCTTTTTTTCATTTTTTTTTATTTTTTATTTTTTTTCATTTTATTTTTCATTTTTTTTTTTTTGCTTTTTTTCATTTTTTTTCATTTTTTTTCTTTTCAAGATCTTTTTAAAGCTCTCTTTTAGATTAATATATTTAAAATTTTATAAATAACTTCTTATAAAATACTTTTATATATGATAATATATGAATATTTAAAAAAGCTAAATTATTAATTAGATCTTGAAAAAACTTTTTTAACTAATCA